AAGGTCGTGTCTATGAAAAAAGTGTAGTTTGATTGCTCGAGGACGAGCAATAGTTTAAGTGTGGGGTTTTGATGATAGGCTATAATTATGTATTTTAGTCGCTTATTACACTCAAATTTTCTGCACTTTAATTGAGTTTGAGCTTTAATCGCTAGTGTCTTGCACTAATTGTGTGTTATATGCCTTGTATGGGTGATTCCGAGCTACGTAGATGTTATGGAATGAATTCAAGTGACTTGGAGATTTGAAGTATGAGTAAAAGCCCAAGGAATTAAGCTGGGATCGTATTCGGGGATTAACGGATGATAGAGCAACAAAACAAAGAATCGAGTAGGCATTTTGCGCACTGTCAAGTAAAATACACATAACTTTTTGCTCAGAACTCCATTTGGTTCCAAAATATAATGGTTGGAAAGCTAACTCAAAGGGCTACAACTTTCATGTTATACGTTTTTCCAAATTTCAAACGGAACAGGGTGAAAAATGCGGTCGAAAATGCGACCGCGGACCTGACGCGGATTGAGCCAGTACACTAGGAAAGTACCGCTAGAAACTTGTACTTTTTCGCGTAGGAGAAGGTATAATTGTTTGGGCCCGACCCTACTTGGTATATATACATAGAAAAATGGTATTTTGAGGGGAGGAGATCAATTTTTGACACAGGTTCGACCTAAGGAGGCAGAGACACAATAGGAGCAAGGCGGGGAATTCTTCTACGAGTTTTTCCTTCCTCTTCCTATTTTTCATTGTTGGTTATGACTTTTAGTGTTGTAGTTTAACATACTATTATGAATAGCTAATTTGTTATCTAGGGTTTTGATGGAACCTTTTGAAGGATAAATTCTTGTTATGTTTTCATATAATTGAGCCGTAGTATTTTCTCTATTTGTTCAACTATATTATTCTTGTGGTTGATTGAAGGGCCCTCAATTAACTGTGCTTATTTAGTATGTATTACTCGGGAGAGAGTGCATATTTAGGTAGTTGTTGAACAACATCACTCCCGACGTATGTGAGTAATCAATAACCAAGGGTTTAAATATGGGATTAGGGATAAGGAAACCTTTGGTGCGATCTAAGTGAGCTGTAACTAAAGACAACTAGCGTAACTCGGGAGAGTATGTCTAGTAAATTGTCATAATTACTCGGGAGAGAATTACAACACGCAGAGCGCTCATGATCGGTAGAGAATACTTAGGCGAAATTATAGAAGACATAGCAGGAAGGATTCCGGCAATTGGGGAAATCATAACCCTAGACCTCCTTAATCTTTTCTCCAACCTGTAGTATCTTTAGTGTTAATTTATTATTTTAATTTGTGAGTTAGTTTGTTAAACACAAAAATCTTAATATCTATAAGTTAGGAATTGTTCAGGCTTGTATTCTTGGTGATAGTGAACAACTGTAGCTAAGCCTTAGTTCTCTGCGGGATTCGGCTCCGGACTTGTAAACCGGATTATATTTGCAACGACCGCTTAGTCCTTTTTATAAGGCGTAGTTGGGCGTGATCAGTTAGATTATGAAGCTCTTACGTATAAACTTTCAGTATATTATGTTGGAACTCTAATACACGGAATGTTCCAGCATTATGAAGCTCTTGCGTATACACTTTCAGCATATTATGGTGGAATTCTAGTAATATGAAGATAAACCTTATGACTAAGAAGAAGAGAAGAGATCTAAGAGAGAAGATAAACCTTATGACTAAGAATTGATGGTAATGTATATATAAAGATTTTCCTTGGCTAAGTTGGGTTTCAATATTTTTGCCACTATTTTACATCTTAGTTAGTAATTTAGTAGTAGTATATTGGAAAAAACTGATACATAGAACATGGTGGGCCGGTCTGGGACCGAGACCGGACCGGGCCCGCGGTCCTAACGGGCTAAACGGTCCCGGCGGGCCGGTCCTGGTGGGCCGATCCCTAAATGGGTAGGAAGCCCGTGACGAGCCGGTCTTGTACACGAGGCCCACGAGACCGGGACCGCTAAGTCCGGGACCGGCAGGCGGTCCTGGGCCGGTTCAACCGGGCCTAACGGTCCTAACGGGCTCCAACGGCTATTTTTTAAAAATTTTTTTTTTTTTTTAAAAATAGCCAACGGTCAGATTTTAAAATCTAGCCGTTGGCCTTTAATTTTCAACCGTTTGGAACTTTAAAAAATAGCCATTTGGCCCCCAAACTTTAT